GAAAGAATATTCTCAAAACACGGAATTTTTCATTACTCGGCCATACTATGGTCCATTCATCTCATGGGTCTCCAACGTGAGTGACATTGCTTGCAGCACTTAGGATGAAGAATTGGGACTTGGTTGCATGTTCTCATGGCCTTCTGCCCGGAGCTAATGCTGAAATCACGTGCAGCTCTCCCTGTACTCGTGTGAAAGTGTCGAGGTTCCTCCATCGAAAATGTGATGAAAGTATTCCCTCATCCTATTATGAGTACAGTCCCTTACGATGATTTTGTCACGGGACCAGACCAACAGGCTACGTACTGCTGACGTCAGCATCTCCGTCCTACACGTCATTCTCACACATGATCTACAGACTGGAGTCGCAGGAGTTTTCGAGAAAAAAAAACCGTATGTAGATGGGGTTAATTATAATCTTATTTATAAGAGAAGAATGTATCAGATTTCCGGGGAAGGGTGACGAAGACGAAGTTGTTTTCCTCAAATTCGTTGATTTTGAGTTTGAATTAAGATAAATTTATCGGTATTTTCTGCCTGTCATTTACTTCCTAATTTGATTTTTTGAAGACAGATGTATTAATAAGACTGCAGTTCAAAGTGTTGAAATTACAATTTGTTCGTAGATAATATCTTTCAAAGTTCGATCTACGGATTTTAAACATGGATATCGTCATTTATTTATTCAGACGTTCAAGTAGGGGCAGCGTCGGTTAAAGATCATTGATGAAAATTATGTTCATACGGCAGTCCGCCAGTCTCTCATTTATAATAGTTAAAACAGCATCCGATCTGGCAAAATGATGTGCGGCTTAAAGATACCTCCGTGAGAATTGTTGAAAATCAGATTCTACAGTTGTAACGGGATTAAATGTCTCTTGACATGGTAATTAAACTTCATATTATTCAAAGACTGAATGATAAATCTACGTAGTTTTAAGAAATAAGATTGATCGTAACCAACGAAATATTTCTTGACGAATATCGTTACTTTATGGACAACGAAAATTACGCGGTGTGTTTTTGTTATTGTTATTTTAATGCCACATTTCGGCTGTTTCCACTGACGCTCCCCTGGACTTAATGCAATAGTTTCCAATACAGGTGTCTAAAGATCTTGTGTCCTAGACAAAGTCTCAATCATAAATACATAAGTTACTTGTTTTCCTTCTAAAGCTAATACGTGGAACAACTAAATGTCACCCTTAAGTTTTTATTTACCTCACCCGAGGTTTTTATTCATCTCACCCGAGATTTTTATTCACCTCACCCGAGGTTTTTATTCACCTCACCCGAGGTTTTTATTCATCTCACCCGAGGTTTTTATTCACCTCACCCGAGGTTTTTATTCACCTTATCCGCGGTTTTTATTCACCCCACCCCAGGTTTTTATTTATCTCAACTGAGGATTTTATTCACCTCACCCGAGGCTTTTATTCATCTCAGCTGAGGTTTTTGTTAGCAAATGGCATCATTCAGTACAAATTTACAATTAGATGCAGTGCAGTAGAGTAAATTCATGAAACTACATCTCACAGCTGTTTCCTTGAAAACTTTCAGGGATAAGGAAAGTTTTAGAAATCCCTGTGTAATATTTCTTCTTTTTAGTAGTAATCTAATCCTTTTTTTATAACATAGTGATTGTAAGTTTTTTTTATGGTACAGATACTATATCATCCTCGATACTCATTTTCTACGCGCACTATCGCTCTCTGCACCCCTGGAACATATTTCCTGGTAAAATTGAAGGCAAGAGCGAAGTCATTTGATTGGTCTAGAGCGGGTTTCAGGGGAAAATGACCAATCACAAACTGATACGTTCCTTTGAAGATTACAAAAGAGCGACACCCAAATATACGACCTCGAGATTCATTTGATGTACATCACAGGATCAAACTAGTTCTCTTGTCTTATCCACAAGGTGTCTCACATGGAACCTTCAATATTATCCTGAGCTGTTCAGGGGTAAAACACACAAAACGATACGAAGGGAAGTAACTCGAGGAGAAAACGAAGCATTGAAATTTTTCACGAGTTACTTCCCTCCAAACATTTACTGAATAACAATTTTTACCAAATTCTATCATCCCTACTCGCGGATCCAGAAGGGGGAAGGGGTGGGGTGAGAACTTGGTACTTTTACTACCTAATTATGCTCTTTAGTTCGATTTCTTTCAAGATCATAAGTATGGATCTGAAGGGAGAGGTATCATTCATTCATTTGCAATACGATCCCTTTACATGTCCCTTTGATTTGAAATAGCGAATGCAAGTTACCTTTCCACTCAGTATCAAATGTAAACACAGATCAACGTATACCTACATTGTAGATAGTAGAGTGGAAAATAAGAGATCTTAGGGTTAATAAATTCACAAATTTGGTAAACCACCTTAAGATCTCTTCCATGCATGAAGCATATTTCGTTCTATTGTATCTGTTTCTCGAGGAGAAGATTTTTGAAACGGTCAGTCTTTTTTTTTTTTGTAATTTTTTATTTTTAAGCATTTTTTACAAGTATAGTTAACATCACATAAGCATACACACACTCCACACACAGAAACTTGCATACCTGTATAGGATTGTAACTATTTGTGAATCAATAACTTAAGTATATTGTAGATAATATCCTAGTTTACACAACATTCTTATCTTCATAGTTGCCATCAGCATTAGAATATTGCAATCAGGATTCATCCATAGATATATAATTAAGAAAATATGGTCTACAAAAACCAATTACCATTTCTATATACACAACAAAACACATGCCTTTGTCATCTTTATTACACACACACACACACACACACACACACTTTCCTTCCACATAGAGAGACAGAGAAAAAGAAAGAGAAGAAAAGAGAGGGTGATAGTGGGCTAAACATTCATATCACATCTATGTATCTCACTCACCAACAATTTCTAATCTTTTTCACTTACATTTTGAAACCCTCACACACTTTAGAGGAGAATAGCCGAGATAAAAAGAGACAAGCAGCAAGGAACAAGACAGAGGGCTAGTGGAAGAGAGAAAAATTATATATGAGTATATTGAAAATCTAAAATACGGTCAGTCTTGGTTGATATATTAATACCATCAAACGGACATTCCAAACTTTGATTTCTTCAACCGAGTTTGAATTATTTTTTTTATGTAGATATAACCGATTATTAGCAAAAATGTTATTTTACCCATAGCAATTTTAAACCCCATATCCCCACCACGTGACAAATATGAGACCATGGGGCCAGGAAACTCACACTATTGGCGTGTATACTGTAACACAATAAAAACTGGCAAAACAAAACTTCTGCCTACACTGGATATCTCGAAGGCTGCTAGCCTTGACATAACCAAACCTACTCGTCATGGATATATGTCCTGTTCTCCGCCATTCAAACTTTCCTGAGATACTGGCGAGGTCCCTTAGGTTTGAAAATTAGCTAATTGTGTACCTATCTATAAAAAACATCTAACAGCATGCTGATAATTCTCTCTCTAACCTTCGTTGCATGGCTTCCGTCAAAAACGCGCCATGTGAATTCTAACTATTTGATAGAACATCTAGATTTTGGCACACCAACTGGCGTTCAAATGTGGATTTCACCAAAACATTTGATAAAATTAGTTGTTAACTCCCCAGTTCACAAACAAAATTATCAAAGTAACAAATAAATGGTAAAACTAACAATTGGATGAAAAAATCCTCATTGTCAGATCCCATACTGTTAAATGGTGAATCGTCCAACATCTCACCTGCTTAATCTAAACAAACTCAAGGAATATTCTTTGGTCCTTTCCTGTTGATTTCTTTTCTGAATATACTCATCTTCACTCTGTTGGAGTAGACAAGAAATAGGTAAAAATAGAACAGTATTTGATTCACTCAAAATTTGGTTTTGAGATGATTTTGGATATTGTATTCGACATGTGGTGTTTTCGCCTCAGTTGTCAGCTCCGAGGAAGTAACAGCAGTATAACACACCAGTAAGGTTCACCATTGGAGAGTTGGAGTCGGGTGGCGTTGGCTAGCATGTGCGGAAGTTTATATAACTTTGTTCCGGATGTGTCGAGAATTAAAAAAGTAAATTGTGACGAACGACAAAGCGACCGCAGTAAGTTACTTGAGCATCTTCAGTCAACGTTAAAGCTGGTCTCTCTCCTTGATCATGATATTGCGGTCTGTCGCAAATATAGTAACAGTGACCTTGACCATACAACTCTTAAATTCGAACTCGTCTGGGAAAGTGTTGTTCTTTTAAAAGGTTGGTTTGAGCATATTCGATCAAAGAAAGAATCTACTATAGCCGTGACGGCGTAACGTACATCAGTGTCGTGACATCCCAATGTCTTCTCTTCGAGATATAGAGGAGTGAAGCCTTATACTTTTCGATGTTAATAGGACGACTAGCAATACTTTAGAAAACTGCCGGCGTACGAGGCATTTGACATTTGATTAAGAATAAATCCACAAGTGTGATAAAAATAGCCTTTATAAGAGGTATACATGTGCATTTTAAAGTTCTTACGGATACCGTGGATTACTCAATGAACATTGAACACCTGAGCACATGATATTTCAATACTCTTTGAACTGCTGCCGACTTCAATAACAAAAAAATTCAAATCCGGTGAGACATCAAAACATCCATATTTGTGCAAAACTAAGGATTGGCACCATTCAGCACACCTGATGCCAAATTTTCTCAGCGGCTAAAATGTATTCAGTTTTGCATACCTATTTGTAAGCTAATTTAGCGAAAAAAGACACGAATATGTAAAAAAAAAGATATATATAGTAGCATTTAGATTTATTGGTACCTTTTGAAATAAATCCGGATTCCTTGTAGTTTTAACCACCAAAGCAGTTAATTTACCGACATACCAAGAGGCCTGCATATTTTGCCACTGTATGTCAAGCAACTTCGATCGACCACGCACCAACAACAACAAACACAGAAACGACACCATGTTTTTTATTTATTGATATCAACAATAATCCAGTGATTTGTAAATGAAAAGATTTCGCTTTACTTGCCGACAACTGGTGTGGTTGCGTTGCTTCTAGAAAACAATATTAGGAAGACAGTAAGGCCGACGTGGACTTGAATCACGTTTACAATGGGGTCATGCACTGTATATGTTAAGAAGGCAATTTACGTCACTTTATGAAATATGTATTATGAAAGCTCTCTCTCTCTCTCTGTCTCTCTGTCTGTCTCTCCCTCTCTCTCTCTCTCTCTCTGATAGTTTCTTTTTTGTCATTGGCAGTTCCACCAACATAAATGATGTATTTTGCCATGAATCTACGTTTAAACTTTCCAGATATCGTCGTTTTGCGATTTTTATAATATCACCGAAAGAAAGTTAAAATAGAGTTCCTCGGTAACGCAAACGTTTACAGCAGTTTTAGTCGATGTTTACATAATTTGTGTACATATTGCTTCAAATTGTCTCAAAATGTAACAAAACCATAGTGTACATAACATGCTTTTTTTTTTTTTTTGACAAACTGAGGTTCCCTTGTAATCATGTGACCAACTTTTCATAACGATAATTTACATGGATTTGAACGAAGGGATATTATTTCATTAAGATTGACAACAGAATTTTATATCGAAACATTCTACCAAGAGCCGAAACGGTAGACATTACGCCATTTATACTCACAATTTTTCACAAATGAAATAGTGGCTGTTGCTGCACCGTTCATCCTGCCAGACAAGCTCGTCCTCCGTAGCAGTCCAGTTTAGCATTAGACAATTGTCAGTCCAGTTTCCGTTAGGGTTTCCAATATCCCACTTTGTGAAGGGTCCCACGTATTGTCCGGTCTCTACCCAACGGTACTGCCCTTCAAAGATGAAGTCGGTCGCACCGACGTAAAATGGGTAGATTCTGATCGCTAAAATGAAGATGAAGATAACTGACTAGTTACTGTTACAAATATCAGGAGATAGAGTGTTGATTCAGAATAATTACTGTGACAAACATCAAGGGATATATTGTTGATTCAGAATAATTACTGTGACAAACATCAAGGGAGACAATGTTGATTCAGAATAATTACTGTGACAAACATCAAGGGAGATATTGTTGATTCAGAATCATTACTGTGACAAACATCAAGGGAGATAATATTGATTCAGAATCTTTACTGTGACAAACATCAAGGGAGATATTGTTGATTCAGAATAATTACTGTGACAAACATCAAGGGAGACAAAGTTGATTCAGAATAATTACTGTGACAAACATCAAGGGAGACAATGTTGATTCAGAATCTTTACTGTGACCAACATCAAGGGAGATAATGTTGATTCAGAATAATTACTGTGACAAACATCAAGGGAGATAATATTGATTCAGAATCTTTACTGTGACCAACATCAAGGGAGATAATGTTGATTCAGAATAATTACTGTGACAAACATCAAGGGAGATAATGTTGATTCAGAATCATTACTGTGACAAACATCAAGGGAGATAATGTTGATTCAGAATAATTACTGTGACCAACATCAAGGGAGACAAAGTTGATTCAGAATAATTACTGTGACCAACATCAAGGGAGACAATGTTGATTCAGAATCTTTACTGTGACCAACATCAAGGGAGACAATGTTGATTCAGAATCATTACTGTGACAAACATCAAGGGAGATAATGTTGATTCAGAATCATTACTGTGACAAACATCAAGGGAGACAATGTTGATTCAGAATCTTTACTGTGACTAACATCAAGGGAGATAATGTTGATTCAGAATCATTACTGTGACAAACATCAAGGGAGATAATATTGATTCAGAATCTTTACTGTGACCAACATCAAGGGAGATAATGTTGATTCAGAATCATTACTGTGACAAACATCAAGGGAGATAATGTTGATTCAGAATAATTACTGTGACAAACATCAAGGGAGACAAAGTTGATTCAGAATAATTACTGTGACCAACATCAAGGGAGACAATGTTGATTCAGAATCTTTACTGTGACCAACATCAAGGGAGATAATGTTGATTCAGAATAATTACTGTGACAAACATCAAGGGAGATAATATTGATTCAGAATCTTTACTGTGACCAACATCAAGGGAGATAATGTTGATTCAGAATCATTACTGTGACAAACATCAAGGGAGATAATGTTGATTCAGAATAATTACTGTGACAAACATCAAGGGAGATAATGTTGATTCAGAATAATTACTGTGACAAACATCAAGGGAGACAATGTTGATTCAGAATCTTTACTGTGACAAACATCAAGGGAGATAATGTTGATTCAGAATCATTACTGTGACAAACATCAAGGGAGATACTGTTGATTCAGAATAATTACTGTGACAAACATCAAGGGAGACAAAGTTGATTCAGAATAATTACTGTGACAAACATCAAGGGAGATATTGTTGATTCAGAATAATTACTTTGACAAACATCAAGGGAGATACTGTTGATTCAGAATAATTACTGTGACCAACATCAAGGGAGACAAAGTTGATTCAGAATCTTTACTGTGACCAACATCAAGGGAGATAATGTTGATTCAGAATAATTACTGTGACAAACATCAAGGGAGATAATGTTGATTCAGAATAATTACTGTGACAAACATCAAGGGAGATAATGTTGATTCAGAATCATTACTGTGACAAACATCAAGAGATATTCTGGCTACGTCTTACTTTTTAGGACGTTCGCAATTGTAAAAAGGAAGTCGTGCTTTTCCTGTGAATCGTCAGAAGCGAGCCATCCGTGTAACTTTTTACACTCTATCTGTAATTAAGACTAGAATTAATTTAGAAATTTAAAATAAAATACAAATATATAACAATGTAACAATTGCAATCAAAGGATATACTGCGAAATGTGTCTTATTCTCATTGTTCTTTTGAAGGAATTCTCGTGTAAATCTTTCTTTTGTTCATATTTTGCGTTTGTTTTATTGAACTTGAGTTTGAATATGATTATACTGATAAGTTGGTTTTGTTAAGTTATAAATATCGAGTACATTTTTATGAAGCACAGCTGAAAATCATTTATGCCCGCGATACTTGATCAATATATCACTAAGTTTATTGTAATTACTGTACAATAGTTATCTTCAAGAGGCTGCTCTGTAGCGGATATATTGATTCTAGGATATACATCAGATATTTATTAGAATGTATTTTGTAAAAGTGAGAGTGATTCACAAACATATGAATTCGAGGATAAAGAGTGCCTACGAAATAAAACAAAAATATTCTGTAGATATACGTATGTTATAATTATCTAGATCGTCACATTTAGTTCTCCACAGAATGTGCACGTGACTTCATGTACAATTAATGTAATATCCAGAATTTAACACGTTTATTGAAATTACGATATTAAATGAACCCGTTAGTATACTACTGAGAGCTGAAGTGGAAACATCTATAAACAACAAACCTCCGCTTGATTCCAGTTGGTTCTCGCACCGTTGAAATGGAGGCAGTTCTCCTTGAACTGCACCCACCCATGTTCACACTCAGAGTGTATTGAAACGACACCTGGATATCCATAAAATATCAGCGCATTTTTATTAAGACACTGTTTAGCATGGATGAACATCAGTTATACAAAATAATGTTAATAAATTAGATCACGTTACCCGTCCTCAATTAAAGGTATCAGCCCCATACACGTATTTCCCGTAGTTATGTGTCCAGTCAGGATTATGTCTACAGTCACCACATTGTACCCGTCATTATGTCTACAGTCACCACATTGTACCCGTCATTATGTCTACAGTCACCACACATTGTACCCGTAATTATATCTACAGTCACCACACATTGTACCCGTAATTATGTCTACAGTCACCACATTGTACCCGTAATTATGTCTACAGTCACCACACATTGTACCCGTTATTATGTCTACAGTCACCACACATTGTACCCGTTATTATGTCTACAGTCACCACACATTGTACCCGTAATTATGTCTACAGTCACCACACATTGTACACAATTATATCTACAGTCACCACACATTGCACCCGTAATTATGTCTACAGTCACCACACATTGCACCCGTAATTATGTCTACAGTCACCACACATTGTACACATTGTATTAGCGACAGCTTACGTCTGGTGTCTTAAGATGCGCACATTTAATTGTCATTATATATTATTTCCATCACGTTTCTGGTTTACAAATACGTACAAGTATGATAAGCTAAATCTCATTATGTATAACGCAGCAGATTTATCAGTATTTGATTGGTATTTAAAAAAAATACATCAAATTCCGTCCCAAATTATGAATTGAGGGATATATGACTTTTTTTCTAGCAATACATTAAAGTATCGAATTTAGACTCGACCAAAATCAACATTTTCAATCAAAAGATTTATCAGCAATGATAATCTGTGTTGACCTAGACCTAGATATAAAAAGGAACATATTTAGGAAGTATATTGTAGGCTGTGACTATCTCTGACTTCTTCCCCAGACTATTTTTCAGTTTGTCAATAAGACGCTATCATTTTTTTCATAATAAAGATAAGAGTCTATTTACTTACCAAAGATAACAAACAGGAGAACACATTCTTTTATATACATCCTTGTGATTTTGTCTTGTGAGATCCTAATGTTAGACTCCCTCAACTGGACTGTAACACTTAAATTGACTGGCCCTAAAGCCGACCTGAATAGATAAAGTGGTGTCTTCGTTATCGAACCATTTCTGGTGACATGTCCGATATATTGTATAACTTATTAAACATATACCAACATCTGTAGGAAACTAGAATAAATAAACCTCATATATCACTGTCAGACCAAACTAGATCAGCCGTCAAATGCATAACATAGGGCTTCCGCGCTGTATTTCCCATTTCGGAGTGTTTAAATCCGTCCAGATATCACACTGGCTGTTCCCAGACGTTAAAGTGCGAAAACAATGAGGAAACTCGTGCATACATAAAGTACATACACAGACCTGGGCACTGTTATAGCACATACACAGACCTGGACACTGTTATAGAACATACACAGACCTGTACACTGTTATAGAACATACACAGACCTGGGCACTGTTATAGAACATACACAGACCTGGACACTGTTATAGAACATACACAGACCTGGACACTGTTATAGAACATACACAGACCTGGACACTGTTATAGAACATACACAGACCTGGACACTGTTATAGAACATACACAGACCTGGACACTGTTATAGTACATACACAGACCTGGACACTGTTATAGCACATACACAGACCTGGACACTGTTATAGTACATACACAGACCTGGACACTGTTATAGAACATACACAGACCTGGGCACTGTTATAGAACATACACAGACCTGTACACTGTTATAGAACATACACAGACCTGGACACTGTTATAGAACATACACAGACCTGGACACTGTTATAGAACATACACAGACCTGTACACTGTTATAGAACATACACAGACCTGGACACTGTTATAGTACATACACAGACCTGTACACTGTTATAGAACATACACAGACCTGGGCACTGTTATAGAACATACACAGACCTGGACACTGTTATAGTACATACACAGACCTGTACACTGTTATAGAACATACACAGACCTGGGCACTGTTATAGAACATACACAGACCTAGCCACTGTTATAGAACATACACAGACCTGGACACTGTTATAGAACATACACAGACCTGGACACTGTTATAGAACATACACAGACCTGGACACTGTTATAGTACATACACAGACCTGGACACTGTTATAGAACATACACAGACCTGTACACTGTTATAGTACATACACAGACCTGGACACTGTTATAGCACATACACAGACCTGGACACTGTTATAGAACATACACAGACCTGGGCACTGATATAGAACATACACAGACCTAGCCACTGTTATAGTACATACACAGACCAGGACACTGTTATAGCACATACACAGACCTGGACACTGTTATAGAACATACACAGACCTGGGCACTGTTATAGAACATACACAGACCTGGACACTGTTATAGAACATACACAGACCTGGACACTGTTATAGTACATACACAGACCTGGACACCGTTATAGAACATACACAGACCTGTACACTGTTATAGTACATACACAGACCTGGACACTGTTATAGCACATACACAGACCTGGACACTGTTATAGAACATACACAGACCTGTACACTGTTATAGTACATACACAGACCTAGCCACTGTTATAGAACATACACAGACCTGGACACTGTTATAGTACATACACAGACCTGGACACTGTTATAGCACATACACAGACCTGGACACTGTTATAGAACATACACAGACCTGTACACTGTTATAGTACATACACAGACCTAGCCACTGTTATAGAACATACACAGACCTGGACACTGTTATAGAACATACACAGACCTAGCCACTGTTATAGCACATACACAGACCTGGACACTGTTATAGAACATACACAGACCTGGACACTGTTATAGTACATACACAGACCTGGACACTGTTATAGCACATACACAGACCTGGACACTGTTATAGAACATACACAGACCTGGACACTGTTATAGAACATACACAGACCTGGACACTGTTATAGAACATACACAGACTTGTACACTGTTATAGAACATACACAGACCTGGACACTGTTATAGAACATACACAGACCTGTACACTGTTATAGAACATACACAGACCTGGACACTGTTATAGCACATACACAGACCTGGACACTGTTATAGAACATACACAGACCTGGCCACTGTTATAAAACAAACAGGTCTGGACACAGTTATAAAACAAACAGGTATGGACAATGTTATAGAACTAGGTCTGTGTGATGATAACTTGTACAGTCAGAAGGTCTTGACTAGGTCTGTATGATGATAACTTGTACAGTCAGAAGGTCTTGACTAGGTCTGTGTGATGATAACATGTACAGTCAGAGGGTCTTGACTAGGTCTGTGTGATGATAACTTGTACAGTCAGAGGGTCTTGACAAGGTCTGTATGATGATAACTTGTACAGTCAGAAGGTCTTGACTAGGTCTGTGTGATGATAACTTGTACAGTCAGAAGGTCTTGACTAGGTCTGTGTGATGATAACTTGTACAGTCAGAAGGTCTTGACTAGGTCTGTATGATGATAACTTGTACAGTCAGAAGGTCTTGACTAGGTCTGTGTGATGATAACTTGTACAGTCAGAAGGTCTTGACTAGGTCTGTGTGATGATAACTTGTACAGTCAGAAGGTCTTGACAAGGTCTGTGTGATGATAACTTGTAAAGTCAGAAGGTCTTGACTAGGTCTGTATGATGATAACTTGTACAGTCAGAAGGTCTTGACTAGGTCTGTGTGATGATAACTTGTAAAGTTAGAAGGTCTTGACTAGGTCTGTGTGATGATAACTTGTACAGTCAGAAGGTCTTGACTAGGTCTGTGTGATGATAACTTGTACAGTCAGAGGGTCTTGACAAGGTCTGTGTGATGATAACTTGTACAGTCAGAAGGTCTTGACTAGGTCTGTGTGATGATAACTTGTACAGTCAGAGGGTCTTGACAAGGTCTGTGTGATGATAACTTGTACAGTCAGAAGGTCTTGACTAGGTCTGTGTGATGATAACTTGTACAGTCAGAAGGTCTTGACTAGGTCTGTGTGATGATAACTTGTACAGTCAGAAGGTCTTGACTAGGTCTGTGTGATGATAACTTGTAAAGTCAGAAGGTCTTGACTAGGTCTGTGTGATGATAACATGTCAGAGGGTCTTGACTAGGTCTGTGTGATGATAACTTGTACAGTCAGAAGGTCTTGACTAGGTCTGTGTGATGATAACTTGTACAGTCAGAAGGTCTTGACTAGGTCTGTGTGATGATAACTTGTACAGTCAGAAGGTCTTGACTAGGTCTGTGTGATGATAACTTGTACAGTCAGAGGGACTTGACAAGCTCAGTAGGATGATAACTTGGACAGTCAGAAGGTCTTGACTAGGTCTGTGTGATGATAACTTGTACAGTCAGAAGGTCTTGACTAGGTCTGTGTGATGATAACTTGTACAGTCAGAAGGTCTTGACTAGGTCTGTATGATGATAACTTGTACAGTCAGAAGGTCTTGACTAGGTCTGTGTGATGATAACTTGTACAGTCAGAAGGTCTTGACTAGGTCTGTGTGATGATAACTTGTACAGTCAGAAGGTCTTGACTAGGTCTGTGTGATGATAACTTGTAAAGTTAGAAGGTCTTGACTAGGTCTGTGTGATGATAACTTGTACAGTCAGAAGGTCTTGACTAGGTCTGTGTGATGATAACTTGTACAGTCAGAAGGTCTTGACTAGGTCTGTGTGATGATAACTTGTACAGTCAGAAGGTCTTGACTAGGTCTGTGTGATGATAACTTGTACAGTCAGAGGGTCTTGTCTGTATGATGATAACTTACAGTCAGAGGGTCTTGACTAGGTCTGTATGATGAGTCAGAGGGTCTTGACAAGGTCTGTGATGATGATAACTTGTACAGTCAGAAGGTCTTGACTAGGTCTGTGTGATGATAACTAGGTCTGTGTGATGATAACTTGTAAAGTCAGAAGGTCTTGACTAGGTCTGTGTGATGATAACTTGTACAGTCAGATGGTCTTGACTAGGTCTGTGTGATGATAACTTGTACAGTCAGAAGGTCTTGACAAGGTCTGTGATGATAACTTGACTACTGTGTGATGATAACTTGTCAGAAAGGTCTTGACTAGGTCTGTGTGATGATAACTTGTACTGTGTGATGATAACTTGTACAGTCAGAAGGTCTTGACTAGGTCTGTGTGATGATAACTTGTACAGTCAGAAGGTCTTGACTAGGTCTGTGTGATGATAACTTGTACAGTCAGAAGGTCTTGACTAGGTCTGTGTGATGATAACTTGTACAGTCAGAGGGTCTTGACAAGGTCTGTGTGATGATAACTTGTACAGTCAGAAGGTCTTGACAAGGTCTGTATGATGATAACTTGTACAGTCAGAAGGTCTTGACTAGGTCTGTGTGATGATAACTTGTACAGTCAGAAGGTCTTGACTAGGTCTGTGTGATGATAACTTGTACAGTCAGAAGGTCTTGACTAGGTCTGTGTGATGATAACTTGTACAGTCAGAAGGTCTTGACTAGGTCTGTGTGATGATAACTTGTACAGTCAGAAGGTCTTGACTAGGTCTGTGTGATGATAACTTGTACAGTCAGAAGGTCTTGACAAGGTCTGTGTGATGATAACTTGTACAGTCAGAAGGTCTTGACTAGGTCTGTATGATGATAACTTGTACAGTCAGAAGGTCTTGACTAGGTCTGTGTGATGATAACTTGTACAGTCAGAAGGTCTTGACTAGGTCTGTGTGATGATAACTTGTACAGTCAGAAGGTCTTGACTAGGTCTGTGTGATGATAACTTGTACAGTCACTTGACAAGGTCTGTGTGATGATAACACAGTCAGAAGGTCTTGACTAGGTCTGTGTGATGATAACTTGTACACAGAAGGTCTTGATTAGAAGGTCTTGACTAGGTCTGTGTGATGATAACTTGTACAGTCAGAAGGTCTTGACTAGGTCTGTGTGATGATAACTTGTACAGTCAGAGGGTCTTGACAAGGTCTGTGTGATGATAACTTGTACAGTCAGAAGGTCTTGACTAGGTCTGTGTGATGATAACTTGTACAGTCAGAAGGTCTTGACTAGGTCTGTGTGATGATAACTTGTACAGTCAGAAGGTCTTGACTAGGTCTGTGTGATGATAACTTGTACAGTCAGAAGGTCTTGACTAGGTCTGTGTGATGATAACTTGTACAGTCAGAAGGTCTTGACTAGGTCTGTGTGATGATAACTTGTACAGTCAGAGGGTCTTGACAAGGTCTGTGTGATGATAACTTGTACAGTCAGAAGGTCTTGACTAGGTCTGTGTGATGATAACTTGTACAGTCAGAAGGTCTTGACTAGGTCTGTGTGATGATAACTTGTACAGTCAGAGGGTCTTGACAAGGTCTGTATGATGATAACTTGTACAGTCAGAAGGTCTTGACTAGGTCTGTGTGATGATAACTTGTACAGTCAGAAGGTCTCTGTATGATGATAACTTGTACAGTCAGAAGGTCTTGACTAGGTCTGTGTGATGATAACTTGTAAAGTCAGAAGGTCTTGACTAGGTCTGTGTGATGATAACATGTACAGTCAGAGGGTCTTGACTAGGTCTGTGTGATGATAACTTGTACAGTCAGAAGGTCTTGACTAGGTCTGTGTGATGATAACATGTACAGTCAGAGGGTCTTGACTAGGTCTGTGTGATGATAACTTGTACAGTCAGAGGGTCTTGACAAGGTCTGTGTGATTATATATTAAGTGTTGTATGGATACAAAGACAACTTAGTCAAGGCAGAGACGCAATGAGGTCCTTTGTGTAGGACTGATGAAGTGTTCGCCTTATGATTCCACAATAATTATTTAAGCTTTATCTATTTTACAGCAATCACGGACCACGGGTCTTACTGTAGAAGGAAACCGGAGTACCCGGAGAAAGTGGTATGGCAAGTGACTCCTGACCTTTTCTTATCCGCTCAGGAAATCGAACCCAAACGACTAGTTAAAAGGTGAGTACGTTACCACTGAGCCATCCGATTTAAGGATGGGCGGTGTATGTAGATTTTTACTGCCAAAGTTTTGTTTCGACAAGGTTTAAACACGTACAGTATGTGTGATCCTGATCCATTGGAAACATGCGTTACTTCCAAGCTCCAATTAGCTATGATATACATGCTTATATGTTTCCATGTGTAGTAGTGCAAATAGTCAGGGGACAATGTTGTACATCACAAAAACTTGAAAATAAGTCTACCTCAAAAATAAGCTTACCTCAAAAATAAGTCTACCTCAAAAATAAGCTTACCTCAAAAATAAGTCTACCTTACAAATAAGCTTATCTCAAAAATAAGTCTACCTAAAAAAATAAGTCTACCTAAAAAATAAGTCTACCTCAAAAATAAGTCTACCTCAAAAATAAGCTTACATCAAAAATAAGTCTACCTCAAAAATAAGCTTACCTAAAAAATAACATTACCTCAAAAATAAGCTTACCTAAAAAATAAGTCTACCTCAAAAAATAAGTCTACCTCAAAAATAAGCTTACCTCAAAAATAAGTCTACCTCAAAAATAAGCTTACCTAAAAAATAAGTCTACCTCAAAAGTAAGTCTACCTCAAAAAATAAGTCTACCTCAAAAATAAGCTTACCTCAAAAATAAGTCTACCTCAAAAATAAGCTTACATCAAAAATAAGTCTACCTCAAAAATATGTCTACCTCAAAAATAAGCTTACCTCAAAAATAACATTACCTAAAAAATAAGTCTACCTCAAAAATAAGTTTACCTCAAAAAATAAGTCTACCTCAAAAATAAGCTTACCTCAAAAATAAGTCTACCTCAAAAATAAGCTTACCTAAAAAATAAGTCTACCTCAAAAATAAGTCTACCTCAAAAAATAAGTCTACCTCAAAAATAAGCTTACCTCAAAAATAAGTCTACCTCAAAAATAAGCTTACCTCAAAAATAAGTCTACCTCAAAAATATGTCTACCTCAAAAATAAGCTTACCTCAAAAATACGCCTACAACTTGAAAATATTCACATAAATAAACTGTTATTTCTGACGTATAATGAAAATAAGCCTGAACTTATTTTCCAGATTTTCAAAAATTGTAACAGGGGCCCAGTATCGTCGTCTTTTTACGTCGGAATGAAAATGAAAATAAGAAACAACAAACAACATTTTTGATACTGATTGCATTTATAGTTTATTGATTACATCTTGAATGGACATTGCTCGTTTCCCAGTTACCGACGACCAACAACACTCGGCCCACCAGTGCCTGACCTGTAAAATAAGATATATGGAGTATGGTTTCCTGTAAAATACTATCTTCATTCTACAGGTATGACTCTCGGAATGTATTGCATGCCTACTACACGATCATCCTCATCAAACAAAATAGCCATGGTCATTGGTGATTTCACAATTGAAATCTTGTATTATAAGAGTCATCTGCACTTCATTAACACATATAGAGACAATGTGTATGAAATATTTGACGGGTCGGATTGAAACGACAAGAGGCGAATTAAATAAAATCTTTCATCATCATGTCAATATCGACAATTACAAAAAAACATTTTTATTTGGCAAAACAATGTCAAAGGGATTGGTCAGTAAGTTTTCCTACTTATGAAAGCCTATCACTGCATGACATAACAATAAAATAGAAAATCTAAAAAAAAAAAAAAAAATAGAAGCACCGGGGTCGAATATCATTTCAAGTTAACGTTTACTTTTTGCTGGCATATGTTTAAAAAATGCATATATTTTGAAAATGTTACTTTTCTATACGAAAATATACCACAAATATATGTATGAAGGTAACAAGAATGATTCAATAAATCTATTTATAGAGCGATAACTCTGACGTCAGCACAGGGAAATCTTTTGAAAACATTCTTGACGGAATAGAAAATTATCTTTAGGATTATAATTGATATTTCCCATGGGAAAGGAATTATTTCTCGCCCCTGTCAAATTAGAAAAGAACATGAAGCTTTACCTACAATTTACAAAATTAAGGAACTAATTGACTATTAAAACGTCCGAGATTCAAATGTATAACAGACGGCAGAATTACTATATTGTTTAAGTATTCGGCACACAGCTAATCTTAAATGTTACTATACACACTGTTTATTTTGGCTAGTTGTTGATAGCGAGGGAAACAAAACTAAATCAGATTACCAACATGGATCTTCGAGCCAGACAGGCCGCCATCACCGCGTTACTTATTTCATGGATGAAGAGGACATGTGTTTTTTTAAAACTGTATGTTAAATAATTTCTTTTTATGTGAGAACGTCAAAGGAAACATCAACATGTCAACATCATCTAATACTAGGCCAAAATAATAACAAAGATTAATACGGAGACTCCTAAAAAGTACAAGGAGAATAAGACTGGGTGTTCCTGCAGTGTAAGCGTCTTATGCCTCACTGAGGCCACCCGCCATGTAAATCCTGAGATATAAAATAGATCTATATTTTTATTTTCAGAGACAAATTGTCTATGTACGCACGGTTTTTCGCATATATAGTATTCCGCTCCATGGACATTAGAATGATTTGCAACTGGGTGGGTCGAGTGAGATCCACAATTTTCGTCAGACCACACGAGGTTTCGATCATTTTCCCACTTCAGTGAGAGGCAGTTTTTAGAGTTATTTCCGTCTGGTTCTCCCGTTCCCCATCTTGTGAAAGGTCCAACCTGAACACCGGTTTCTAACCATCGCCATTGATTCTCAAAAGTGATATCACTCCCGCCGATGAAATAATGATTGAAGTGGAAGCCTGGTAAAATGTAAGACAAATTCTACATTTACAGCACGCTTTTTACAAAATTCATTGGCAAGTCTGTATCTTTTTTACCAAAACATCTCTTTTTGAAAATAAAACATTTTTATTTCAATAATCCAACAGCCAATGTTGACTAAGTTTAATATTCATAAAGTTACTACGCTTTCAATTCTATCCATTAACATTAGCTAAGCCGATTTGTTTTATAGTCTTCATCATCTTGCTTCTCTCACAGTCTCAAAAGGGTCTGGATCTGGCATGCAGATAAGTCGTTAGAATTGTACCTTTGTCATCTGATTATTGTAAGCGGCATCTTAAGTGTTTTTTCTCTTTTTTTTTCTTTGTCATTTTTTGCTGTGTCCAAGCCTTGTGAATGCCTATTCGTGGTCCCTTATTGTCGCAACGTATGAAAAAATACGATGTCTAAGGACTTCATCGACTTTTATTAGTATTACTGGTATTATGAATCATGCTACCGTGTACAGATAATGACATTTCAGTGTGATGGCACTATAACAGAAACGACCGCCAGTGGTCGCATTGCTCAGGGACACCGTCTTTAGATCACATGACTGTTATTAGGACGGAAAAAGGTAAAGATAAAAAACAATTACATCACTCACATTTTTACAAATATTTTAAATTACTTGATGGTACAGTCGTTGTTGGAATTGGTTTCCGAGATTTACCATTGTTATCATATCCCATCTGACTTCTAATCAATTATGTGAAAGATCAAGAATAAACAGAGCTTGCAAAGCGAATTATTTTTCAAACGTTACATACCCTACCAGATTTAGCGAGTGATTTTGTATTTTTTGGAAAAAAAACTAAACGAAGTGAAAGAAACACTACAGATCTATATAAAAACAACGAGTGTTTATGACCAGCTTCTACCAATATATAAAGGCTATTCCGAAGTTGAAATGACGTGTGCTGTTACCGTTTGGGCGTAATAATATGACCTCTTTTAATATGCCGCTGATTAGTGTGCAAAATTTTAAATTTCCGAAATACATAAGGGTATTAAAATTCATTAAAAATTATAACAAGGTTTTTTTTCCCCTTCCAAAGTAAAAAGTATGCTTTCTAGTTTCCACGGTCGGGTGAAGTGCTCTTTCGATCTTATTTCTTTCAATCTTAACTTGCTGACGTGTAATACGTGGTGGTATAACATGTATGTTTGAATTATTGATAGATGCTTCAGGAGTTGAATAACACCTAACTATTGCGGTAAGAAAACATCTATTTAACATTCTCTTGAAAGTTCTAGTTTTCATTAAAAGGATCTGTTTCTGGCTAAATGCATTCCTCCTTTTTTCATACCAAGGACAAACAAAACAGTTGTATGATATATAGATCTTTCGGAATTAGCGTGTCTTAAACCAAATTCTCCTTTAAAAATCTAATTTGCACGTGATTTGCTCATCACTTTTAGAGGCTAAATATTATAATGGGATAAAATCGAAACAGTAATTAGCTAATTAAATGCACGTTTCAAAAATAATTTGTCAAAAAATTGAACAAAGGGATACGTCGCCGATTGTTTTATCGTCTAAGTGTTAAGTATCTGTTATAATGATAAGGTCATCTTACTTTTGAAGGCATAGAGAATACGTGAAATAAAATTGTGTTTCTCTTCATTGTCGTCAGACATCAGCCATGATTTACGTCTTCGACAGTCGAGCTGTATGAAAGAAAATAGTATTTAACGGGAAGATATGAGATATTCAACAGAAGATAAATATTTGCTTCAGAAAAAAACTTCTTATACATCTAAAATAACATGGTACATTATACCCTAAGCAATACATTCAAAAGAATGTTTTTACATGTAAATAAAAACTTGGTATTTAAAAGATAACACAATGTATACGTTATATATACAGATTTATATGAAAAGGACATTTCGTTTACTTCGAATTTAATGAAGTGAACAACTATTGTATATGAAGAACCGTATAGTAAAGACAGTTTTGTGTAGGAGTAGAAAATGGCGCCCTGTAGACCACTAATAATGTATATAATTACTTTTTACACCAGACAGCATTTACATGGCATCCGGCCTTGTTTGTCTGTATCACATGATATTGATATTTGTACATTAATTATATATCACATTTAGTGATACTTTATAAACTAAAAATTATAGTATCATACTAAAATGAAGGGGATATAAATATTGTTATACCAAATTACGTTGATATGATTAGAAAGCATAAAGCTCATCATTCATCACTGACAATGCTGAAACCATTGAATTTGTAACATCACCATCACTCATGGTATTATCAGATTTCAGAAATTATGGATTCATGTACATGTAAAATGGATAAAATGTATATTTAAAACGAATACCGAAAACTCCCTGTTCTAAAACTTTTACCTATATCGGGTTCTTCAGGATACTTCCGGTCTACTTACCTCAGCATCAAACCAGACCTTAGGAGTGTTACTGAACCATATACAATCTTCTTTAAATAAGGTCCATCCTGGTTCACAGGTGGGGTATACCAAACCAAAGCCTATGTGAAATAGTATCAGGCAAAGTAACGTTTATCTCCAATGAACCACACTAATAGAGAACTCATTCCAGTACAGTCTACTGATTAGGAGAAAATCACAAAAATACAGATATACATGATTACATAATATCAGAAAAGTACATGCCAGGTTTTCAAGGCACGAAATCAGAATAAGGCTTTCTCTAAATAACCCTCCTATCCCAATGTATTTGTCAGTTATTACACTACTGTTACTTGACTTAAACTGACCTATAAATGAACACAGTTCTTTAACAACGAGAAATTCGATTTGTGTGATCGATATGAATAAATCGCCGCCATGTTCTTTAGAAATGGTTTAATGTCCTTATTTGGAAACTTAATTGGTATTTTAAGTTTGAGTATGTCTGGAAAATGTTGTGAACAATAAATCATTTATTGACAGGAATGATAACGAACATTAGAAATAATAAAAAAAAGATTATTTCGTCATAGATACTTAATTTTACATGAAAGTTCAGATCATAAGGAAATTATTGAAACAACAATAAATATCTTACCACATATAAATAGTAATAAAACTGCCTTCATCTTGTTGTGAACTGGTTCTAGATACGTGAGCGCTATCGCATGTGTCTGACACTTTAAAGGTCAAGGTCGCTCGCGAGAGCTGTGTGGTCTGAAAGTGCACCTTAAATCTGATGATGTCACGCTTTTGCACTCTTTCTATCTTTATATAACTAGAATATTTACACCTTGGTTCCATCAAGTACATTAGGATCGGGAACGTTTGGTTATGCCTTATCTTGACTTCTAACAAGACTGTCCCTAACCTTATTACGTTTGGTGTATGGTGACCGAGTTTTAAGCACGGTTTTATAACGTCTGCCTATTCCAATTTTTACATTTTACATGCTAGTACACATACATGATAATCTATACAAATTGGGTACACATATTACCCTTGTGGCCAAAATTGACTTTTTTGTTCTTCAAATTAGGAAAACCATCGTGTGTGTAGTCTTCGTTCCTTCCTTATATGTAAAAACTTGCATAAACGTATTGTTAAGAGTGAAAACGCCCTTCATTTCCACGGCTGACAATAAACTTCACGACGATTAATAGTAGAGAAAAAATGGAGATGCATACAACCGTTTGCTAGAGAGTTGACCTTTAATGTATGGACTTATTTTCAAACCAAATTCTGAAGAATAATTCCATTCAAAAGGCCAGTTAACTAGTTAACTAGATCTCAATTTTGGCAGTTCAGTAGAAAGTGCTATTTTGGCCCCAAATCTCACGAATAGCACGAAACAAAATAAAACTTTTATGGATAAGGTATAACGCAACAATTAGACAAAACAATTATTTTACCATATTTTTAGTTTTACCAAAACGTGAATCATGTCTGTTCTGAATAATACCAGATAAATGATTTCTGACATTGAATTGCCATTATTTTCACACGTGGCTTTGTTCCTGTCGTTTTTCTTATATAATAATGTTTTTGAATTATAATTAATGACAGATATTGTCCTATGATGTTGAAAAAGGTTACCTGAATGCATCAAGTTTATACAAAATACAAAACTGTAAATAGCACTTATAACTACAAATTTAGAATTAGATAAAATGGAACTAAGATATTAAGTATACTGCATTATACAGCCAAGCCGCAAGCACAGCAACAAAAGGTGTCAAATTTGTACTATAAATGTGATACAGGAATACCTATCTAGCTGTAAGATCATGAAACCGACCATGTAGAGAATAGCAGGAACTAATAACATGTTCTTTTCTTCGCTTTCTCTGGATATTCACATTTTAATTCCGTCTGGGCACATGAAGCATTTTTAGACGTTTTAATTTGTCTGTGATAGTTTTCTACTAAAAAAAAATTTCAGATAGAAAGGCTGTGTCGTGAAACAGTTTTTCTTGTAGTTTTCGATTTAATAAAATTACATTTTTATAGAACCAGTCCAGAGGTCTTTATAACTTGACATTCGTTTCAAACCCTGCAGTTTATGTTTATCATTAACCACAAGGTGACACAGCGCAGGTCTGTTCTCTAAAGGTCATATACATTGCAAGGTGCAAAGTTCTAAATATTGTCTCTATCTTTAATATAACGGATCCTTCCCAATGGCACTTCCCAAATGGTAACTTTTATAGAAAGGTTAAGTATTAACAACTTTACAGATGCATTAGGCAGTAGATACAATGCATATACGCCAAATAAGGAAAGAAATATCACGTAATTATGTCTCACCGTGTGGAGAATATTTAAGTCCCGGAAACATGATAAAATGGTGTGTTAAGAATAAAACAACACTTTCAAATTATCATTTGTGATTGTCGGTGTCAACATAACAATGAATTTAAGTGTAGTTTTATCGTTATCAAGTCAAGTTCAAATACTTCACAACATCTCGTTCCAATGTAGACATCTTTAAAATGGGAATTTAAGATTTTCACCTAAAATCTTTAAAGTGATCGAGCACTTTCGTATGGTCTGTTTATTTTGCTATCACAAGTCACTCTCATCAAATGTTTTATGCGTTACATGATTTTGGTTATTAACACTTAACACAAATGCAAAAACGTTAAGTACATGTGTATATATTCTGACCTGTTCCAATACACGAATGAATTAAAGTGCAATTGACGACAAATCCTCTGAAACTGGGGGAAAGCAGACCAAAAACTTAAACGATAAGTTAACAGCCCAATAGGGAGCAAAAAGTATCTTCTACCCTCGTATTGATTACATGGTTTAAACCCAACTCAGACCTGATATCACATCCAAGGTTAATTTTCTTGAAATTAGAAATAAAACCATTTTGCATCTGTTCATGTATATATTAATGGATATAAAAGCGGTCTGAGATATGAGATAGAAATAAATAAATAAAATAAAAAAACCTACAACGAAAACCAAACATATTTACACGGAGGCTCCTGAAAAAAGTACATGGAATATAAGACCAGGTGTTCTGGAAGAGTAAGCCTATTCTGCTTCATCGACGACACCCGCCATGTAAACCTTGGTCAATCCAAATAACCAACTAACTAAAGGAACACTAAACATGTCCAGATTAATTTCGAACACAGAAATAGAATATTTCACAATGAGATCGCTATGATGACCGTGAAACGTGTCAATATGTTTCCTCAATCTGCATCCTTTGAAACTCTGTGTTACAACTTTATATGTCAGTTGAAGACTTCTTGCACGATAATCGTGATTATAAGAACAGGTCCTTGAAAATCAAATCAACTGCAACACCGTAGGTTGGAGATGTAGGCATGTTGCTACCAAGAAATGGAAAATTTACAGTAAAGGAATTGAAATCATCACGTTTATCACATAGCTTGTTTGAAAACTCTCAATGTTGGTTTTGTCGTGCGAAAACAAAAACAAGTCTTTAGTCTGATGAAAGTTTCGTGTCAATACTATTCTCGATTTATGTGAAGGTGAATTAAACGTTTAGAGGTATATAAAGTTATAGATACTAAAACCTTAGTAGTAACAGTTTTTCTGTATTGTATGTGGTGATAAGTCTACTTCCCATAGCAGTGCTATCGCCGAGAGTGACACACTTTCTCAATTACGTCACGTTTTCTCATGTCTGTATAGTATCGGGCTATCTGCGTACCGGTTATTCGCATTTACTGTCCCAAAATGGCCGCGTCGTGGATCATCTACTCTTACATTGCATGTTCAGGTACATATAACTGAATATTTTAAGAATTACGTATTTCTGCCACTAAAGAAATCTTTGTTTAGTCTATTATTGCCAATGGTCTGTTTGAATAATGTTTCTTAGTGGTTTTAATACATATAGTGATTGCAAAGGAGTACTTTGCTACTTGACAATATTCTATTAATTAATCACGTGTAAAATCACACCGGTAAATGCATTTTGTTGTTGTGATGCCACATCAGATTTAATAAGTACAGATCATCATTGTCCTGAACACACCAATACTAGAGACTGAATGAAATCTAATTCTTTTTAACTCAAATAGTCTTATACCTTCTCGATCTATGATCAAATGACAGTTTAATCCTGACTTATTTTCTTTCAGCTTTCATTCTTGTGTTCAGCACGTGCCCGTCAGGCTGGATTGAGAACGATCAGGAATGTTTTTGGTTCGGATCACAAAAGAAGAACTGGAATGATGCGGAGGTAAGGTATTGGTTTATCATTAGTTCATATCATAACAAACATTACTTAATTTGTACACCAGTCTGTCAGAAAATACCAACATGTCAACACAATCAGACTCCACAGTCGCGAACTTAAGTCGATTTCTATTATGCATTATCGCATAGGCATTTCATGATTAGGTTATTAGTTTTAGTTTCCTCTGTTTTTTGACAGGCTGATTGCAGAAAACACAATAGTTACCTGACTTCAGATGACAACCAAGATAAGCATGATTTCCTGTTTACATATCTAAATATCTTTCATTGTGAGTGTCATTCGGTTCCCTATATTAAGATAAGTCAGTTTAGAAATGAGTATGAGTAATAAACAAAGCGTGTATTTCAATTTTCCAACCATGCATATCTACATGGTGTATCTTTGTTAGATTCATGTTCATCAGAAGACGATATTCTTTATAGAAAGTTATATCGATTTTCTTATTCAATTGTCTGTGTTATACTATAGAAAATCAAACATCGATATCTGACCTAGTGACTTTCACCGCCATGCTGTTTGTCGGGTTTATCACTCCGTTAGTGGGCCAATTAGGGTTCATTGTGTTACACAAGAACACCTTTACGACATTTCACTAAATACGTAATCATGCTTTATATTACACGAACATATCATTAAGAAGATGTTGGTTTGTTTTTTCGACAGCATGGAGGTTGGGTCATTTCTGGTTAGGCGGAAATGACTTGGCAATAGAAAACCATTGGCGTTGGTTCGAGTCAGGTTCGCCTTTAGGTTCTGCGACTTTCTGGGATCAAGGTCAACCAGACGGAAACAACTCTGCTAACTGTATGTCTTTTTATATGAACGCTGACAATGAACTTGTTTGGAGGGACGACAGATGCACCAGCCACTACAACTACGTTTGCGAGCAACCGTAAGTTTATCTTTACTGTGGATGTACATTAGTCAGATGAAAAATATATCATTGGCGTGACTTTAACTTAATACTAACAAATATGTTTTATCTTGTTCATTTCAGGGCAACAGGTTCCACCCCTCTTCCAGTAGTAGGGTAATCCGGAGCGGTCGGTCTCAATTGTTTACATGTTACCGGGATCGCATTAAATCGTTTTTGACGTTTACTTCACATTATTTGTTTTCTTATTGCGTTTTCTTTTTTTTGTTTTATTCTAAAAGAAATGAAGATACACAGACTGAATGACGATCATTATATCAACTAATTCAGAAAACCAGATATGATGGTATATCCGGATTCGGGTATAAAGTAAATCAATAGTGTAATTGTATATCTGAAAATCAAATCCGTAGTTGATTGTATGCAAGGTGTGTGCATGTGTTGAGTAAGTGTTTACAGGAGACTGAGGTCTGTTCGTTTAACCTTTTACAAATGTTACTGCTGAACTGAAGCCGTCATTATAGTTCAGTCACACTGAAGTATTCAGCTGAGAACTCCTAGCAGGACTCCCCATCCTGTAATACTCATAGTTATACTAGAACGGGTGAATTGTTAAGCAGGCACAATGAGCGTCCAGTAGTGAGTAGTAAGTACAGGTTCCATAGACAGGACCTAAGACATCCCTTCACAGGAGACAGATAGCTGTTAAACTAGAAAATATTAGAAGAAAAAATAATCGTTTCTTTGGATCTTTATAGTAACAGGTAAAATTCGTAGGCCCTGAAAACGACTTAAAGGAAACTAGAAATCCCTGATGGATCTAGGCCCGCACCATTTAATGATCGGTAATATGCAAACGTGGCATTTGCTCTCTTTTTCCTGTTGTCACCGTTGTTCTTTATTTCTTGATATAAGGATCGAGCAAACATCGAACCAGAGATGTTCTCAGGTCAGCAATTTTGTTTTCGCTAGAGCGTTAAAAACTGCCACAAGCTGTCACCAAGTTAAACCCATAGTTCAAGATGGAGATTGATTTCCCATGCAACGAAACATCGATAACAAGTGTCTAGATCTATGATGACCGCCTGTCGTTTTTTCTTATTTCGGTGATCGGACTCAGAAAACCAGAGAAACGGGAAACTTACACATGAAGTATGTATAATATCCCTTAAGTAGACACTGTGATAAGCTTGAACTACCAAAATCCAAAATGGCCGCTTTTGACCAGTCTCAAAATTAAATAAATAAACTAGGGACCATAGGGAACATACACACCAAGTTTCAAAATTATAGAATCTTGCGTGGTCAGTCCAAATATTTTTCTCGCATATTTAGAATAACAGCAGCAAACTTTAAGTTGTTGTGAAACCTGTTCGTCGGGCTTCATCATTGTCCCACGAAATGTGCGTCAAAATTGATGACGTTGTTGATTAACAAAATAACTACTCTACATAACATGATGTTTCTACTCTATTGTGAGTAACGTTATTGTGCGTGTCAGCTGTCTTTACCCCGTGTGAGATAGTTATCTCATGTAACCACGTGATCAATGATACAGTAATTAAGAAATATCTGCAGAAATAATGTTAACAATCTTCTACTGCCAAAACATGAGATGGACAACAGATTTTACAATCAAAATTAGTACAACCAGAGAACTTGAATAAGGGAACTCACACATGACATTTTAGAAACCCTTCTCAACTGCTCCTTTAGTAACAGCAATGGCAACTGTCCCAATTAAAGATTTCCACCTGTAACTATATCGTATACCAATAGGACCCAAAATTAAATGGACACAACCAGAGACAAAAATCTGCATATGGAATTTGAAAACATTTTCTCAAGAATAGCGATCAATTCGATGTCATTCTTGGAAACTGGTAATATGAATGATTTCTTTTAGGCATACATATGGGAAGAATTTACAATCGTATACGTTTAGTGCAACACTAATTTGCAAAACCAGGCAGCAATGAAGGTAATTGTGGGGAAAACGTCCAGAATGACGCGAAATATATGTTTTAGTGACTAGTTTGCCCTGAGAGAAAGGCTTCCGATTATATCCTTTGGTTTTTATGCCCCCGCAGATAGCGTTGCCCATGTCCGTCCGTCCCGTCCCGTCCCGTCGCGTCCCAAATCAGTATATACCACCTAACAACTTCGGACCTTTCACTATTATTTCACATGGGGAGGGGGGGTTGCTTTTATGTTATTTACCGTCCTTTAAATATTCACGGTTATATACAGATGCTTACTGCAGGATACGTTAATCAACCACAGATTAGTTTGACAGAGAAAACAAATCGAGGTTGGCATGTTTCTAACCTGTGTTATTTTCTCAACACACAGATTGGTCCGATAGAGAATACAAATCGAGCTTGGCATGTCTCTAACCTGTGTTATTTTCTCAACACACAGATTGGTCCGATAGAGAATACAAATCGAGCTTGGCATGTCTCTAACCTGTGTTATTTTCTCAACACACAGATTGGTCCGATAGAGAATACAAATCGAGCTTGGCATGTCTCTACCCTGTGTTATTTTCTCAACACACAGATTGGTCCGATAGAGAATACAAATCGAGCTTGGCATGTCTCTAACCTGTGTTATTTTCTCAACACACAGATTGGTCCGATAGAGAATACAAATCGAGCTTGGCATGTCTCTAACCTGTGTTATTTTCTCAACACACAGATTGGTCCGATAGAGAATACAAATCGAGCTTGGCATGTCTCTAACCTATGATATTTTCCAAACCAAAGTTTATGGTTAATGCAGTTATTAATAGATCTATCAGATATTAAACAAATCCTCTACAGTGCATTGTTACCATTTTGATTTTTGCTTTCTCTTTTCGTTCTCGTCCCACGTCTTTTCGCTTGGTGTACAGGGGATTAGCCAGAACAAATAGTTGATTGTTTACTCTGATAAATTGTTGGATAAAGTTGACCGCGTAGTCATCGAAACGTCACACTCTAATCTTCCTCTGGATGTATTATAAGTTTTTATTCTGTTGATATTACCAACCTGAAGAAATGCTCTGAAATATCCACGAGAATGTGTAGATTAAACAGTACGACACGTCATGCCTCTTAACCATGTTTGTTATTTACTGAAGCAAGCAATGATTCTTTGGGAAGATTTGTTTCTTTATATATCGTTAAATCAAAAAAAAAAAAAAAAGAAATAGCAATTTTAATAGGTATATGATAGATAATAGAAGTGCTATTTCTTTATAGAGAGGTTCAAAACAACGTCGATTAATGCGATGGATAGGATTTTGTAAAATCTGCCTTAGATCGTTGATCTTTTTCTTTAGCAATCTAAGGACATAAAATTATTAATAGACATGTCTCTTGGCCACTTTTTCGGGAGTTGCATATATTTCATCCACGTTTAAGACCTCTGTATACTGAAAAACTGTAATGTTAATACACACAAAATGTAATATCATTAAATCTAAATATCTAATATATCAGTTCAACGAAAATAGTTTATAAGATACTTGATAATTTAATTAATAAATTCATGATTAATTTAATTCTGATAAGATAATTTAAACAGGTTCGTTTAAATACCCGTGTCTGTTATTTGCATGGTATGCTTCGGGCTCTTGTTAGGAACAAGGTCAAGCCCTGATAAACTCTTCACATAAAATCTGATGACGTCAGAGTAGCCCACCAATCTGAGCCAAGATCCTATATCAAACGATTTATTCTTGAATTTACTGTAAATATTTAGTTTCTTCACAAAGCGATCTTCATAACTGATAAGGATGAACCACTAACCTACAAAGGAAACTGTTGATGAGAACTACCATTTGTCAGCTATCTATTCACATTGATTGAGATCGTGACAAGAAAGGCGATAAGGCACATCATTATCATCTGGTGTAATATTAGGTCGCTTTTTTGGACAGGGCAACCAGAGCACATGCTTAAGTATACACATATAGGACCGGATGTAGTTGTGATGACGACATGGGATGGGAAGCAGTTGTTGAAGGTGTTCCCTGGGATCTACAGACGTAAAACATGAAAGCTGTCGCTGCCCTACTCATATGCGGTAAATAGTAGATAATCATTTATAATTACTGTCATATAATGTGTTTTGTTCAGATTTATACCACTTACGATGTACTGCCCTGTCAAAATCAGAATTTACATTTCTAACCGTGCTTGTTGTATTTCATCTCAATCACATTGTTTGTAATTTCGGTGTTATCAGTTCTGTAAACAAACATTATCAAAAGGCATGTAATTTCGGTTATTTAAGTAATGAACTATTCACAAATAGACATAAATATGTGTGTTTATTTTTTTCTTCTTTCCAAACAACTGTTGCTGTGTGAAAGGACTGGGCCTGGTGTCCCCTGCCTGTGAACCGGGTTGGACGCAGTTCAAAGAGGACTGTATATGGTTTAGTAATTCGGCTAAAATATGGTCGAGTGCTGAGGTATGTGCTTCTATAGGCGGGATATCCTTGGGGTTTGGTTTTCGCTTTTAATATTATATTTTTATTTATTTTTCTTTATTTTTTTGTTTCATTTTTGTTTTGCTTTTTTTTTTTTTTTTTAAATTGATGTATGTTGTTAACCTATGAAATGAACACAAAGCGATAACAACATAATTCTTTCACGTTTAAGGAAAAACCTCGAAATCCAACTAGTAACTTACTTATAATGACTCATAACGTCGTCCTGATAAGTTCTAGAACTACATATTTACCATCCGGGAACCAAATAAGGGGTTTTACCAAATATTTATCAATTAGGTACATGTACGTGGTGTTTGGTCATGTTTTTGTGACAGAAATTTGAATTCTAAATAGCGTGAAACTAGTATCCCTCGAGTCACTTAACTGAAAATAAGATAGCTGTCTCATGGCCACTATTTCCCTCACGACTGTCGCCCTGCGATTAATGTAGACACTACGCCACTGTATTTCAGGATAATGTAATCGTCGTGTACATTGTTTTCATGTCACTGCATTTACCACACCATCTTTATCCTCAGGCTTCTGTTGTGAAGATAAAACTTCTATATGTTAATCCTTAATGCAAGCTCAACCTCAATGTAAGTAAGGTAATATATGAATCAAAGAAAGATGCACAAGGACACCAATGAAAAAGGATTGGGTTTCAATTGGTGGGGAGCTTGTTTTGCACACATGTATCTACACATATTCCCCTTACCTTATCTATTCCTACCTATCGTATGTGATCCAAGACTGAAAGTTGAAGATAGAAGAATAAATGGGATGAAATGAAAACGAATGAGTTAAAGAAGTGAAACAAAGTTTGATAAAAGGAGGGAACATGAACCCAGAGTTCCAAGCCTGGCCATCCCATCTAAATAATTTTCTGGGAAGTTAAAAGCCAATTTGAGATCTAGAAAAAAACATAAGACCAATTATTCCGGAAGGGTGAGCATCTTCCATTTCCGAGGCGAAACCTGACAACTTGGTCATTATTATCATATTCCAAACGGTTATAATATATATTGTTATCAGATTATATACTCAAGTTACTTTTCCTGTGTCCTTCGTAAAGTGATTTCAGTGTCTGAATTCATGAACATTGTTATCTGTATGTCGTGTGTTACAATATTTGTTAACTAAATGAACGAATAACCAATAACTAGATCGAAATCAGTCGGTAAAAACATTTTAATTGAATAATATGCTATATTTAGACCTTACGATAAGGATGTATCAGCCTTCGTCTCCATGGGAGACATATTTACTTTTGTGTGATGATATATATAGGTTCGATGTGCAAGAGGTTGAATTTTTGTTTGATGACAGAATGACTGCCGTTCAAAAGGAGCATGGTTGTTGTCAGATGACAATGAAGATAAGCATAATTTCCTGTCCTCCATCTTATATGCCTTTAAAAGTAAGTCTTGTCTTTTTGCAAGGAAAAACAATATTTTTCACCGCGGGTGCTAACTTGTGGTATTACATGGTAATTCGGTTATTAAACGGCGGATGACCGAAATTGGCTTCCCTCGTTTACAACACTTCATAAACAGTAAACGACAATGCAATGTTAGTTGCCTTTATAGACGAAACATTGGTGATATAGGTTAATTCATGGTTTGCTGTAATTGTATCTAATTCTAAATATGTAAAGATAGGTGCATTACAGGTGGCACAAAGGTTTGTAACATTCATTCGCGCTTCAGAATATTCTTGGCCTTATTTTATCCGATATCGAAATATATAAAAAGCGAAATTTATCTTATCAAGGGGCTGGTGCCCCATCCTTATCGACTCGATCCAACGCACGTCACGATGTGCCTTTTTATTGATTTACTGTTCATTTGGCATAATCTAATATTAAAACAAGAAAATACTAACATGTCAATATAATCATAATCCCAACTCAAATTCAGTAAAACTAAAAAAAGAAAGATTTACACGAAGACTCCTGAAAAGTACAAGGAAAATACATGTAAGACTAGATTTACATCAATGAATAAATTATTTTGTATGGTTTAAAGTTAAAAACGACATACGTATGACAGAATATCGAAAGTTTTCGCGAGGGCGAAATATCATTTCACTTGAACGAAATGTATATTACATTCAAGGGGAATTCATTTTCTTTTCTATGCAAACATTTTATAGGAAATAGAAAAATCGAAATATGGGCAAATAAGAAATGCAATCTACAAAGGACTTAACATCTAGCCAGTGCCATTTTTAACTTTTACATGTCTATTATACGTAATAGAACAAATATGTTGTAAATCAATTAGGAATTGCTGATTAAGAATTCACATACAATTTTAATTCCATGTTGCATTAAAAATAACACAACCACTTATTCAGCTTTCGATTCAAAAGGATAAATTGTGATATTTCATTTAGCAAAAATTAGATAAATGCTTATTTCTGACAAAATGTTTATTAGCCAAAAGATGGGTTGTTATCATGTCCGTATGATACACATGATATATTTGAATGAAAATCTTTTAATACATAACAAAGGGGTTTATTGTTATACTGCACACTGAATGCGTGATTTTCTTTCTAATGATATGTATAGTAAACGTAGTCGAATTTCTACATTCCTGACGGACAACTTTAGTCACAATCGACAATATTTTACATGCCTATCCAACCAGGCTGGAACCATACTTAACTGTCGCCTAAATAATCTGTGGTATACTTTAATGTTTTGCATGGTTAATGGACAAGTTATAAATAGACTTTACCATATCTGTCGTTACCCACAAAAGCTGGAAAATATTGGAATTGAAAGACAAGGCAGACTCCTCTACATAAGTCGCTTATTTCGATTTTTTCTAGGAAAGCAGCAAAGATAGCATTCCACCGAGATGTGTGATAAGTGTAATGATTTCAATATCCCTATTGTGAATTTTCCATTTTCTAGATAGCAACATGTCTTTGGTTGTTACATGTCGTGGTTGATTCAATATTCCAAGGATTGTTCTTATTATGAAGAAAGAGATAAATCATAAAAAATAATACAAATGTCAAATATAAACCTTGAATATAGCTTTTATTTGAAGTCCTTTCAAAATTTGTTTAAAATATTTATTAATTTTTAACTTTAACAAGATATAAGGCTTGAGTACAAAATTCATGCTTGATCATGAGAACGGTTTCATGAATACGGGCCCTAGTCTTATTCTCCTTGTACTTTTCCAGGAGTCTCCGTGAAAAACTTTCTTTTGTTTATATTTTCCCTAGTTTTGTTGAATTTGAGTTTGGATTGTGATACAGTTGACATGTTGATATTTTCTTGTTGTTCTTGATTGTTTTACTACGTTTCCATTTGATCACTTTAGACAACTGACTATTGTTTCTGTTCAGCATTAAGCTACATTGTAATTTGGCTTATCTGTTTTCAATGCTCAAAAATATGGACATACATATTTTTCTGTTGTTTAGATTTAATGTACATCTTATGATTTAGATTTTCTGCTTTTTCAAAGGCTTCCATTTCAATAAATTCTTCATCGGTGGAAGTGATACAGCTTTTGAGAATCAATGGCGATGGTTGGAGACTGGGGTCAGTGTTGGTCCTTATACCAAATGGGGTCTAGAGGAGCCTGATGGAAACAACACCAAGAATTGTTTAGCTGTGCGTTGGCAAAACGACACTAACCTGGTGTGGTCAGACGAAATCTGCGGACATTCGGCAAGTCATCATCATCACGCTCACGGATCTTTGAACTACATTTGTGAGAAACAGTAAGTATCGTCTTGTTGTTTTCGTTAAGAGAATCGTGCTGGGACCATCAATGATTTCATATATAAATGTATGTGTAACGTGACTTTGACTGCAAAACATCTATTCCTTAGTACATTTCAAGTGGCTGTCGGATTCAACTGAAAGGGACCTTTCATTCCTCTTATGGAAGGAAACGTCCATTGAAAACATTCATTTCTGTGAACAGTTTTAATGAAGATTAGATAAGCGCCAATATCATTCTTTCACAAAAACATGCTTACTTGCTTATTTGAAACGACAATATGTGGTATTGAAAAGTTACAGAGCATTTAGAAAATTTAGTCAAACATTTTCTTTAGGAAATATTTTCCAAGTATTACGATGAAGAGTTATGTTTTGCTTTCTCTATATCGTTAGGTTGTAAATATGGCGGCAAGTGATAAGTATTGATTCTTCAAACTTTTGATGAAAATTGACTTTATTTGGTTTTACAGTGTGAACAATTCCGGCTCGATGGTAATTGGTCGTCGCTGAAAGTCCTGTAATGACGTAGAAAACAAATATATGATAAACCACCACCAACATCTTTCTGTCGATTTTTCTTAATATCTAGATTTGAATTAAATTTTAAAATTCCCCTTTTACAAGAATGGGCGGTATCAGTTAAATACAGATGAGGGTTTGTAAAACGGATTTTCTATTCATGACGTAGTATAATACAATGACAAGTTATTTTCCTATCAGTACAGCTCAATGACAATCATAGCACAGTGGTGTAGAAGAGAACATGAGTTCGATCCCAAAACAATTACCTCAGAGGTTCTGAGTACCAGCAAATAGACCGGATTATTAATTACGTTGATGTCAATGTGTCAATGCCGCCCAATGATTGATCATGCCAGGCAGTCGTTTGTACTAGTGTCAGTAATGCATTTGCACAGATAAATCAATTAAGAACAGCTCAGGAAATAGCAAGAACAAACTTACCCCACATTGAAGTAAGAATCCTCTATAGAATACATCGATGTCAGTATGTATTAATAGAATGATTTTCTTTAATGATGAGATGGTGGCCAATCTTCAACATCAAAAGGGTACACAAGTCAGTACAGTAGTCCTGTTTGGAGAAAATGGTGGCCCATCTTCTTCCATTCTTTTAACAGAAACTGCAACATACAAGGTCAAATAATAACGAGTGTCGGGATACACACAAAAATAACCCTCCCTTTTTCCTGGGGTTTTTGGTGCTCCCGAAACAGTGAGAATATGAAAGCAAACCCTAATTTACATAGATACCTCACACTTACCGGCCACTTTCCACATGCGGTGAGATAAAGCTTTTGTATTCCTGTAAAGATATTGCGAAATGTCGTATTTGTGTTGTCAGGACTGCAGATAAGCAATTAGCAATCATCGCCCACATTTATCGTGATGTAAAGAAAATACCGTGAATAATTTATCGATCGAAATATCCAAATTTATTCTATAAAGATACAAAAGATCATCAATATGGACGTCTTTTTTGCACTGCCTCTCTTAAATCTGATATCTACAGCCACAGCATTTCCTCATTTACCATTATTGTTTATTAAATTTCCCGGAGGAAATGATCAAGTGCGACAAGACATCATTTAACACAACGTTGAAATCAAACTGTCAATCGTGGTTTTATTGAAAGTCTTTAAGGACTTTACGTCAAAGCAGGACAATCACAACGAAACGTAACTGCACAATTCAATGTGTCACAGAGTGTCAGCTCTCAATTATTGAATCGATTCCAGATGACCGTAAACGTCACCGAGAAACCCCAATAGGGAAGACCACGATGTGCAACAGCCCGCCAGTATCGTTATTTAAGCACTCTTATTACGTGAAATCTGTTTGCATGTTCCCCTGGGTTGAATAACGACTTCCGGCAAGCAACTGGAAGAAGAATAGTTACACAAACAGTGAGGAATAGATTTCATAATTTTGGATAACATGTCCACACACCTGCTGTACGCACCCGATACACACGCCGTCATCGTATAGCTCGGCAGGATTGGGTGGCCTATTCTTTTAAGTGAACAACCAGCCAATTGAAAAACGAGTTCTGAAATGGCCCCTGTGCATAGAGGATTGAGCTCTAGAAAAATGGTTTGGCCGACACTGATTGCCGGTATATTATGAAGTTCAAAAACAAATGGATACCAGATCAGTCGTTATTCATAGATAATGTTGAAATAGATCTACGAAGTCTGATTTGAGTTTTTGACTGCTGCGTCAATGAGCATGAGCGTTTCGGTGGGGACTCGTTCATGGCTTGGGCAGGGATCCGTTTTGGTGGTCGGGCTGACTTGTACGTGATTGAAGGTGGTAGCCTCACAGGTTACGGTACCGGAATAAAATCATTCATCCTGTTGTAAGACCCTTTGCGGATGCTGCCGGACCTGTGTTTGTACTGATGGACGACAATGCTCTACCAGATAGAACTAGACTTGTAACGAATACCTTCAGACAGAGACTGTTAAGGGTATAGAGTAGCCTTGTCTGTCACCCAACAGTAACCCGATCGAGCATGCATGTTACAGCTACTCATTTCATATCGTCCGCGGATTCCTGTCAACCGACAGGAGCTTGCTGATACTCTCCGTCAAGAATGGGCACGGATTTCACAAATAGCTGTACGTCGCCTTATTCCCAGCATGCCAACACTACTTATACTGGTGCTGAACCCACAGAATAATTTTTATTAACTTTTTATGTAATCATGCACGCCACGCTTGAGTGAACTGATTCAAAGTGTTGGTTTACGACTCGCTTGGTATGAACATCGGTATGAAAAGACTCGCTTGGTATGAATCGTGAACGTCGCTGGTATAATGTTGGTATACGACTCGCTTGGTATGAACGTCGGTATACGACTCGCTTGGTATGAACATCGGTATACGACTCGCTTGGTATGAACGTTGGTATACGACTCGCTTGGTATGAACATCGGTATACGACGACTCGCTTGGTATGAACGTCGGTTTCCGACTCGCTTGGTATGAACGTCGGTATACGACTCGCTTGGTATGAAGGTCGGTTTACGACTCGCTTAGTATGAACGTTGGTTTACGACTCTCTTGGTATGAACGTTGGTTTACGACTCGCTTGGTATGAACGTCGGTATACGACTCGCTTGGTATGAACGTTGGTTTACGACTCGCTTAGTATGAACGTTGGTTTACGACTCGCTTGGTATGAACGTTGGTTTACGACTCGCTTGGTATGAACTCTCGCTTGGTATGAACGTCGGTATACGACTCGCTTGGTATGAACGTTGGTTTACGACTCGCTTGGTATGAACGTCGGTATACGACTCGCTTGGTATGAACGTTGGTATACGACTCGCTTGGTATGAACGTCGGTATACAACTCGGTTGGTATGAACGTCGGTATACGACTCGCTTGGTATGAACGTTGGTTTACGACTCGGTTGGTATGAACATCTGTATACGACTCGCTTTGTATGAACGTCGGTTTACGACTCGCTTGGTATGAACGTCGGTATACGACTCGCTTGGTATGAACGTTGGTTTACGACTCCCTTGGTATGAACGTTGGTTTACGACTCTCTTGGTATGAACGTTGGTTTACGACTTGGTTTACTTGGTATGAACGTCGGTTTACGTACGACGACTTCGCTTGGTATGAACGTCGGTATACGACTCGCTTGGTATGAACGTCGGTATACGACTCGCTTGGTATGAGCGTTGGTTTACGACTCGCTTGGTATGAACGTCGGTATACGACGACTCGCTTGGTATGAACGTCGGTATACAACTCGGTTGGTATGAACATCGGTATACGACTCGCTTGGTATGAACGTTGGTTTACGACTCGGTTGGTATGAACATCTGTATACGAATCGCTTGGTATGAACGTCGGTTTCGCTTGGTATGAACGTCGGTATACGACTCGCTTGGTATGAACGTCGGTATACGACTCGCTTGGTATGAACGTTGGTTTACGACTCGCTTAGTATGAACGTTGGTTTACGACTCGCTTGGTATGAACGTTGGTATACGACTCGCTTGGTATGAACGTCGGTTTACGACTCGCTTGGTATGAACGTTGGTTTACGACTCGCTTGGTATGAACGCTGGTTTACGACTCGCTTGGTATGAACATCTGTATACGAATCGCTTGGTATGAACGTTGGTTTACGACTCGCTTGGTATGAACGTCGGTATACGACTCGCTTGGTATGAACGTCGGTATACGACTCGCTTGGTATGAACGTTGGTTTACGACTCGTATGAACTCGGTATACGACTCGCTATGAACGTCGACTTGGTATGAACGTCGGTATACGACTCGCTTGGTATGAACGTTGGTATGAACGTTGGTATTACGACTCGCTTGGTATGAACGTCGGTATACGACTCGCTTGGTATGAACGTTGGTTTACGACTCGCTTGGTATGAACGTCGGTATATGAACGACTCGCTTTGGTATGAACGTCGCTGGTATGACGACTCGCTTGGTATGAACGTTGGTTTACGACTCGCTTGGTATGAACGTCGGTATACGACTCGCTTGGTATGAACGTTGGTTTACGACTCGCTTGGTATGAACGTCGGTATACGACTCGCTTGGTATGAACGTTGGTTTACGACTCGCTTGGTATGAACGTTGGTTTACGACTCGCTTGGTATGAACGTCGGTATACGACTCGCTTGGTATGAACGTTGGTTTACGACTCGCTTGGTATGAACATCGGTATACGAATCGCTTGGTATGAACGTCGGTTTACGACTCGCTTGGTATGAACATCGGTATACGACTCGCTTGGTATGAACGTCGGTTTACGACTCGCTTGGTATGAACGTTGGTATACGACTCGCTTGGTATGTTAGTAGTTGGTTTACGACTCGCTTGGTATGAACGTCGGTATACGACTCGCTTGGTATGAACGTTGGTTTACGACTCGCTTAGTATGAACGTTGGTTTACGACTCCCTTGGTATGAACATCGGTATACGACTCGCTTGGTATGAACGTTGGTTTACGACTCGCTTGGTATGAATTGGTATGAACGTTGGTATACGACTCGCTTGGTATGAACGTTGGTTTACGACTCGCTTGGTATGAACGTTGGTTTACGACTCGCTTGGTATGAACGTCGGTATACGACTCGCTTGGTATGAACGTCGGTATACGACTCGCTTGGTATGAACGTTGGTTTACGACTCCCTTGGTATGAACATCGGTATACGACTCGCTTGGTATGAACGTCGGTATACGACTCGCTTGGTATGAACGTTGGTTTACGACTCGCTTGGTATGAACGTAGGTATACGACTCGCTTGGTATGAACGTTGGTATACGACTCGCTTGGTATGAACGTTGGTATACGACTCGCTTGGTATGAACGTTGGTTTACGACTCTCTTGGTATGAACGTTGGTTTACGACTCGCTTGGTATGAACGTCGGTATACGACTCGCTTGGTATGAACGTTGGTTTACGACTCGCTTGGTATGAACGTTGGTATACGACTCGCTTGGTA